TGGATTTTGCATGTTCTCTCTGTGTCGGTGCAGGTTTCCTGTGGGTTCTTCACTTTTCCCACTTATAAACATGTACAGTGTGAGTGGGACAAATGCTCTCACTCACAAAGCGCTTTACCAAACAATGGTAAAGCGCTTTGTGACTCTAAGAGGTGCTCGAAGAATAAAGATTACTTACTAACCATACAAGGCCCTTTGCATATGATAAAATGATAAATGTTGTTTCATATTATATATCTTCTCTTCCTCTGACAAATCTATGGTCTGTAACCCTCTTTTTATGTAGTAAATTCCCAACTCAAGAAAAAGCCCTAAATCAAAGGAAAAACCACTTTCTTCTTTGAGATTAATGAATGTTGCAGTAATAAATAAAGTTTGAAAACTTTCCAGGGACTCAAGGCAGTGTGATGAGCGCAAACCAACAATTTAATAACCTTCCTTTATATTAATGTTTGCCGTCATGGTGCAGCAGTCCTTTCTCCGACCAAAATCTCTCCCTGGAAATTCAAATATTTTTGAGTGCAATGGGCGTTATCAAAGCCAATACAGCCACGTCATACCAAAGTTTGGTTGACTGGTTGAGCCACACATGAAACTTTAACACGTTAATTAAAATTAATTAACGGCACAAAAATTATCGCGTAAAAAAAAACGCATTTTAATCGCATGTGTTTTTTGCATCGCGGAACGTTCCTTACTGGATGAGTTTCAGACGGACCGGATTGTACTGGAGCAAAAACTCGAGCTCCGTGACTTTTCTTGTTTAAAAGTACATTATAACAAGTATAGACCAACTTTAGCAGTGTCTAAATCTGAGTGAGTTAGAGACGGGAAAGAGCGCTGTGTGTGAAGCTATGGACTCTGTGAGTGAGGAGGAGGAGGAGGAGCAGCAAGCGACTCCTGTGAGAGTTGAGGAGGAGGAGGCGGAGGAGGAGGAGCGACACAGGTGTGTGAGCTGCTGTTTTAGTTCGATTTTAGTGCTCACTGCGGTGGATTTTGGGCTTAAAAGCGTATGTTGTGGACAGTGTGTGGAGGCGATGACAGATACGTTATTTTATGGGAAAGAAGATCCCCTTATCATGCTGCTGCTTCTGGTTTTGAAATGTCTTCATGGTCTGGCCCCTGCCTACCTGTCCGAGTTGCTGTCCCCTTACACTCCCTCCAGACATACTGTATGAGGTCCAGTGGTCAGCTTCTGCTTAATGTACCCAAATCACGGCTGAAAACGAGAGGTGACCGGGCCTGTAGCTGCTCCTAAACAGCCTCCCCTTGTCTATTTGTAGCGCCGCTTCTTTAAATGTTTTTAAATCATTATTAAACAATTTTCATTTTCCTCTGGCCTTTGGCAATTAAGAGGTGTTGCACTGTTTGTTCTGTTTTTACTATTTTTGTATTTGATGTATTATATTGTGTAGCGCTTTGAGCAGCAATTGTTGTTGTAAACGTGCTACATAAATAAACTTGACATTGACATTAACATTGACATATCATCCACAATGAACATGTGTTGCTTAAGCTTATGTATTCAGTCATTATTTAATGCTAAACTAAAAATCCATGTGAAAAATATTACTTCTCACTGTTCTCAGGACAAATATTTATATGTGATTAAAATGCGATTAATTAATCACAAAGCCTCTAATTAATTAGATTTTTTTTTTTATCGAGTCCCAGCCCTAATATTTAACAATACATTTATTGTGGGTTTGTTTAGTTGTATTCTTGTCTTACAAAGCACTCCTTATTTCAAAATCAAGTAACAATTTCCCTTGATTTCCCGTGTGTGTTGATAAATGAGTGATGACCTCAACCTTTAAACTAATCCTGGATTCAGACAGTGATCCAGATCACCTCCAAAATGTTGTAACAATCTGTCCATCACTTTTTGAGTAATGGGCAGACTATGCCCTTGCACATAGAATACAATAGATTAAAAGTTGAGCATTATTATAATCAATATTACCCTGAATGGGGCGACAGTGGCTCAGTTGGTAAAGCCTAATGGCATGACCATTAGGCCCGAAGACCAATGCTTTACCAACTGAGCCACTGTCGCCCTCCCAGCAAGACCTACTCCATGGTCTTGCTGGGCAAGACACTTAGCCCTACTCTGCCTGAAGCCCTCGTTGAAAAACAAAGGTTGTGTCGTCTGTGGAGGAGCAGCCATTCCCCTGTTGACCCAGGAGGATCAGTGAGGACCACCCCCTGGAGGATCAGTGAGGACCACCCCCTGGAGGATCTGTGAGGACCACCACCTGCAGGATAAGTGAGGACCACCCTCTGCAGGATCTGTGAGGACCACCACCTGCAGGAGGATTAGTGAGGGGCTGGTGCTTTGAAAATTGGGTGCCAGCTCTAATTGCCACCCCCCTCATGCAGAAAAGGGGATGAGGATGAATGAATGAATGGCCCGGTATTGCGGTAGTCTTGCATGGTTATAGGTCCTGTGTGTGTGCTTGGTAAGGGCATGGAACAGCTGTATGCCACTGTTTCTGAAGTTTTTCAATTTTACTTTGGGTGATTCACATGAGTGATTTGTTTGTGCAATGCTCCTGTGTACAACACGGATTGCAAGGAGTTCTTGATAAAACATAAGTTTTTATTTATTCTTTTAAACTAATTAAATCACAAATACCATATATGTTTCCACTGGGATCATTGGTGAGGTCACACTGTTAATTAGCTTTGACCGTTTTTCTGTTAATTAGCTCACCGCTGATGTTTAGAATTCTTTGTTAAGTTTTCATGTAGTTCCAGAGAGTTCTAGTTAGTTAGCTAGCGTAGCTATTACTAGCCTAGCCACGTCACGGTGCAACCTTTGGGAACTAACTATTTTATAAATATAGACATATATAATTTAAAAAAGATAATGCCCATTACAGCTTAGAATATTAAGGGCTGTCTAATATTCGTTCGAATATATATAGATATTTTAATATTCGAATTATAGTCAAATTTCGAACTTTGAAGTCAAAGCCCTAGTACATATCAACTTAAGCAAAAGTAAAACTCATCAAAACTTTATGTCTTTTCACCCGGTCATCTGCTCTAGAGATAGATAATTGATCTATGACAGAAGGCCAATGAAATGAGAAATTTTATAGATAGGCTGAACGTTAGTTAAAATCCTTGAATGAAGTCCAGAATCCAGGTTGTTTTTATTACCAGCACATTTATTTAGAATTTAGCGTGGAGCATAGCATACAGTGGACTCAAGGGTCACAGCACTTAACCTAGCTCCTTGTACAACATTTCAGTGCATCTTTCAATAATGTAATTGAAATCATTATTTGAAACGGCCATTTTTTCCTCTTTGTGACCTCAAGATATATCTACACTAATTGAATTGGATGATTTAAGTGTCCATCATTAAACTAAGCTTCACTCTTGCAGCCTCCAAAGCCTTCAGTGTGCCACACAAGGTTATTAGGTAATGAGGTAATAATACAGGTATAGGCATCTCTTTCTTTGTTTTTGTTAATAAAATGAATGGATTTGTAATCAGTGGCTGCTGAAATACTGTCTTTTGGAACATTTGCAATGTCCGGCTTTGGAAAGTGTATGTCATCATAACTACTATAAAGAGCCTTTGGTGCTTATTCTTGATTTCAATAAACGCTGCTGCAACAGTTGGAATTGGATCAATCCAATAACGGTCATATCCTAATTTAACAATCGTCAAGCTATCAGTAGAGTTGATGTACTCTTACTACTGTCCTATATGTGTGCTGCAACACCAAAACTTCCCCACCGTGAGACAAGTAGAGGTTCTGTTAAGGACTTTTTGATGACTTTTCCTGATTTTACTTTGATACTTTGGTTCTTTTCAGTGTTGCTCATGTCTGTTCTGCTGATTGCCTGTCCTGGCGTCATGTGTTTCACCTGTGTGTCCTTGTGTGTATTTCAACCATGTTCTCCTCTCCCCTTGTTGTTGGTCCATAGTGTTTTTGTCCCTGTTTCGTCTTGGTTTGAGTTTTAAGTTCTGTATCTTGGATTTGTTTTTGTTTTTTTTTAGTTTTAGTTTTTTGATTCTTATATTTTGGCCGTGGCAAAACGTGACAGGTTCTCTAATCTTACACCTTAACCAGGATAATGCAACAGTGACCAAACCCCTGACAGCATCACTCAAGGCATCCCTACAAGATACTACAGACCATTTGATTCTACTAAAAGATCTCTTTTAGATCTGTGAGCGTTTCTGCGTAAAATATATTGGGCTCTTTTTTATTGTAAATATAAGTCAAAATCTTCCTAAACAATTAGAAATGAAGTTAATGATAAACTGTTTCTAGATTACTCGATTAATCGAAGGTAATAATTAGGGCCGGGACTTTAGCGCGTTAGTTAATTAAATGTACGCATTTTCATCATGTTTATTTTTTCACTGCGGAACGTTTCTCACTGGATGTGTTTCAGACTACTAGTATACTACCAAACAAAAGTTACATGATTTTCAGAGACAGATTTAAAAAGGCCTATTGATTAAAGTGGACGTTTGCACATGACACTGAAATACTATTTTACAGGCTGAAATATGATTTAAGTTATTTTGTATATTTAGAAATACACTTTGAACTCCATCATGACATTCAAAGAGGACCTAAAATAATAACTCTCTCAGTACATTTATTTCTTCATCAGGAAGTAGGTCTGAGGTACTTGAGTAAAAGTAAAAATCAACTCATACTATATACCATAATATTGCACAATCCCATCAGTGCATACAGTAACTAAAATGCTAGTGCAGTGCAGATTAAGAAGTACATTTCCCCCAAAGTACTTGTGCAGTTGGAAACACTAAAACCATTGCACAGGCCTGATTACAGAAACAGGAGAAACATTAACCAACACACTGCCTTACACTGGTACCAGTACCCTCAGTATTGACTACAGAATTCTGCTTGTAACTTTTTAAGGCTCTCCATCGACCGGGTCTTGGCGACTTAAAGGAGTTTTTGTTGCTGTATGTTCTGAGCCGCTGTCTGCGCTCATTGAGGCAGATGCGTCTTACTCTGCCGACCTCCCGTCTCCACACCAGAGGGGGCGGGGGATTCTCTGTCGGGGCCTCAAAGCTCTGGATCGCTCCACCTGGAGATAAGGTCAGCGTGTATTGTGGGTACTTTTAAAAGTTACTTTTATCAAGCGGGGTATTTTTGAGCCATGCATGCTGTTGGTGTATTTTCGCCGTTTTTATCCGTGCATTGTTCTTAGTTTGATTGCTGTTAAGTGCTATAGAAATAAAGTGATTACTGTTATTATTGTTATTAAATATAACCCCATAACCGAGGGCATTTTATTATAATTTGTTCATGAGTCTAACTTAATTCTGCATTTATACTGAGAATAGTGTAGTTATTAGTTCCAAGGTGCAGACTGGGCAGCGTGGCGAGTATTTTGTCTGGGACCTTGTGCAGTAAAAAAGGTTTGACATACATTATAGTTAATTGGTACCCTTTCTCTTAGCTCTCATCTGTCCTTTTCTGTAATGCTGCGAGTTCTAATATATTTCTATGTTGTAGCAGATGATCAATATTTGCCAAGACCAGTATTAAAAGTATGTATTTAATATCTTTAACACTGTTTTTGTCTAGTTATTCCATCCTGAAAGTGTCCTGTTAAAAGACATGATGCACTGGGACAAACAAGGGCGACGCACTCATACAGATACATACAGACACACACACTCACACTCACACTCACACTCACACTCACACACACACACACAGACACACACACACACACACGTAAATGGGAGTTCAGAAAAAAATATGTAAAAAGTATTGCCTGCATTTTCACTCTCTGCCAATGCCGTTATCTGTAAACTCCTGCCGTTTTAAGTCCACAATAAACATCATAAGTAGTTCAAAGTTCAATATTGCAACATATTGAACATTGAAGGAATTTAGGCTGTTTTATGCTGCGTTATATTTAAGAAGGTTCTTTTAAATAAAATCAAACATTGTCTCAGCAGTGCTGTGTGCCTTTCATAGTGTCTGCGTACAATTTCCCATCTCCAAACTACGCCCTGTGCCCCTCAGTTGATATTCACTGTGCATTACAACCAGCAAAGCAGAAATCTGGTCCATGGACAGATGACGCTATGGCACAGAATCTGTCTGAAGTTTTTTCACAGTTTTAAATGTGAAAAAAAAAAACCTCACTGAAATGTTCAGTGTTCAGTCTCTCAAGAAATAATCCACTCTCTTTGTTCAGCTTCTACATTGGGATATTTACTTATATATTGAATAATGGTTGATATAATCCAATAAATATTTTGTTTTGTAGATAAAACATTATTTCTTCTTCCTTATTGTTTTAATATGCATAATACTGTTCAATAAACACAAAGGCAGTGATTCCATTCCTCCTGAGAGTTCTCAAATCTTTTGACTTGAGAGATTACTCAAGAAAAGAATAATAAAACAGAATAAAACTGGGGATTTTGTTAGAACTAAAAAACGGCTTTTGCTTCAATAATACATGCATTGATGAGTGAATGTTCTTACTGTAGTCTGGCAGTCTCAAAGCTTTAATTAAAAAATTGTGAAGTCAGTTCCTCTGCTGTGATGTATTTGCAAATCAGATGGAGTCAAATTAAAATAACTGTATACATAAGAGTTTTGTATTCTGTTTACGTCGTTGTTTTGATAAATAACTATAGGGGAGGAAAAGTCCAATGGGGTTTTAAACTGCAAATGAGATAGACTAGTTTTTGTTGTTGTCATAAAAGAAAAAGAAAATAGTGACTCTGATCTACTGTAGCTTAAGATGACTGTACTGTAGATCCACAGTGTTATACATATTATATTAAAGTAATTATAATTTGTCAGTAATACACAACCGTGTTTGATACATTGTTTTATACTGCACTGACAAAACTTCCAGAACAATATCTCATCAACCTTATCAGATTTCTTTCATTAACCTGCTTGATAAGCTGTAACATTCTGTATGTCTTCTTTGTGGAGGTATAAGCCGCTCGCACCTTCTCACCTCTGTCATGTCACCTCTGAGGAAGCAGAAACATGTCACAGCTTTTTTAGTTCAAGTGTCTGAATAGAAGAAAAGCCTTTGTTTATTTAAGCTAGTTGTCAGTCACAGGAGGCAGCATTACGTAATACAAGACCTCAGGACCTATCAACAGGCAGGTTATTACGGCACCGGCACCAAAAAGCAAGTATCGATATCATCAGACTTTATTACAGACTCGTGGTCCAGGATAAGAAAAACACATCAAATAAAACACAAAACAACACATAGTCACACCAACAAGCCTCTCTCCTCAGAGCAAACAGCGGCACCGATCTCCACAGAGGCTTGTGATAACAATGTTCTGACTTTCATTGACAGATAAAACTTTACATCATGATCGAACGGCTGCCTGAAATGTCCTTATTCCAGCGGACACAGAGTACTTGCACTTTCTCATCTTGACCTTCTCAATTTAGTCCTCAGACAGTCATTGTATGCCAAGTTGAGTTTATGTATAAAGCTTTTTTGTATTTTGTCAATATGTGTGCTGTGTATAACAATGTACAGTATGCTTGAAAAAGTGTCTTTTTCACCTCCACTTTATAAGGACCAAACCTGCGCACAAGCATGTTCGCCGACATATGACTATGTCCTCATCATCAAACACATCATTGTGTATAAAATGGCCTAAATATTTATTTTTGGAATATACAGTTAGCTCAACAAAATGTTTATTTTGATAAACTACCAATACTCTAAAAATCTAATGGTAGAAACTTAAGGTTAATGCTTAAGGCTTAATGTAACCCCTGTTATTTGATAACAGTTTACTGAGAACAAGGACTGTTCACAACGGAGAGAACGGCTGAAGTTACTTAATATTAATGTAATCAGGTGGTTTTTAATCTTAAATGTTGCAGAAGCACATATGCACATTGAGTTGAGTCATTTTTTTTGTGAATGAATAAAAGGGAATATATTCTTCAAAAAAAGGAAACTATGACAAATGTGACAGAAGCACTTCCTACTTGGACTGACTTCCTCTTTGGGGTAAAAACAGTGAGGGCGGGTCCCAGCTCAAAAGTGGCCAAAATGACGTGCGCTGACATGCTTGCAATACCACCCCGGGCCGATGGGGGGTGGACCCAGAATAAGAATTAGCCAATGCTAACATATAGCATTGGCAGACCTCTCAAAAACGTCTTTACAGGATGGACCAAAAGTTGGCTCTTGGCCCAAAGCTCCGTTCCACATGTGTGTCAATGCTGAGGGGGGTGGATTTTTTTGGTCTACTCTAGTTTATTCGCTGTGAATTTTTGAAGTCTCTCGTTCAAATGAATGGAGCTGCGCCAACTGACGCATGCGCAGATGCGTTTTTTCACAATTTTCTTGTGGGCGGGACCACTCGTGGCCATTTTGGATAGCTCCAGTAGAGCACAATTTTTGGCCCATTAGTTAGAATGGCGGAGATAGGCGTGACTCTGTCCGTTAATATATACAGTCTATGGGTAAATGGAAAGAAAAAGACTTTGGAGATTGGCATCTTGTAAAAATATTGTATATCGTATTTCGAGATATGGGGAAAAATATATAACTCAATATATTTTTGATATCGCCCAGCCCTACCGCATGGTTGCTAAGATAAATATGGAACTGAGCAATTTTCGTAGAGTGTGTAAGGACCAGACAGAGAGTAGCTTGTGGACACAGGCCTTAGGTTTAATAGCAGAGCACAACCCCAGCCAGAGCAGAAGCACTCACATCTATTTGTGACTCATGTTCAGAGGGTTACAGACCAGGCACAACAGTTTGTAAATATAACTGTCCAGAGTCTCTTTTCCACAATAATGATTAAAGGTGTTTTGGATGATTTTATAGAACTGTAGGACCGCACCATGCCTTGGCATTGACAACAATCACATGGCACATCACCAGCTGAAATGTAATGTATACAGGAAATCCAACAAGTGCAAAAGTCTCTCTTATCTTCTTATTTTGACCAATCAGGTGAGATTGGATTGTTTCTAATGGCACACATCAAACAACACCTCAAAGCACACCAGCGTTCAGCAGCCATCAACGTATGTGCAGCGGGACTTGCAAAAGAACACGAATGGGGGACGCCTGATTTGTGCTGAGCACGTAACTGACAGTGAAGTAGTGAGGGATGCCAATTATTGGCGTACACATCACAAGTACAAATATATCCCGGCCTAAATACATGTAATAAAGCTGCATCCTGTCTTTTATTTGGTCATTTAATAGATGTGGAAACCCCCTCTCCTCATGCCCCCAGTCTGCTCTAAGAACACTGAGACCTGTCGGCTCTCCTTTGGAAAACTCACTCTGAGCCAAATTGGCCTGGAGACTCTTTCGATAGAGTAAACAAAGTTTAGAGCTCACCTGAAACATACTCTTTTCTTCTAAAGACTTTGCAGAAATTAATAGTTCCCCACACAATCTGTATTCTTCACATATTATAAACTAATAGATACAGAGAGTTAGGCACCTTTGTTTTCTCACTAATTAGGCACTCAATTATGAAGGCTCAGATTAAAAAATCATTTACTTTTTTTGACCTGACATTCATGCCAAAAAGTTAGACCGTATTTAATTTGTGTTACATTCTCTGTATAACACCAAACATTAAGACACATGTTGGCAAATCAAAATCTAACTAAACTATATTTGTACCAAGAGACACAGAGCCCTCTTGAATATCACAAACCATTTGCCAAACATTTTACTTCTGGAACAGCCGCGCCTGTGAAAGTTTGCAGGTGTGACGCATGCCACACTTTGTTTAAGGAGCACTCTACCTCTTTAATGAAGCCGCTGCTCTTTAGCTCCGCATTACAGTCAAGATTGAAGCTTTTTAGCCAATGTTCCTTGTGATTGAAATTCTCAGTCAGCCATCAATCTGCATTATAGACTGGTTTCCCCTTGTCTGGTGGGGGCTAACTGAAACAGATTGAGACAGCTCTTGCTCACTGCATCACTAATGGCTGCCAATGAAAGACGTCTCTGTGCTGTTGACCCGTATGTGGACCAGGAGCAATGGGCAGAACACAGCTCAATACTAGAGTCTCTTGTGCATCAGTCACCAGTCAACAGCATCATCATCCCATTGACTAAACGCTGCCCAGAAATAGAATCTAATCACAGGTTTTGGACAGGCTCTGGTTCCCCTAATGGTTTACCATTAACTGACTGGAACAAAGCCCAAAGTGTAGTGAAATATCAGAATGCATTCCAGGTTCAGTGGCAATAATAGCTTCTCGATTATTGCCATGGCGATGCGGACACCTGCAGGCCTGTCTTGTATGAATCATCTCAGTGATCAAGGACTTACTTAATCTTTATATGCAACTCACTCATCCAGGGTCCATCAGCACCGTTACTGTCCAGTGGAAAGACACCGAGACCAGCTCCAAGTTTGGGATATAATTTTGCTACAGTAAGCTGCCGGCAACTGCGGAACGGATTGATAAAGCAGCCACTGTGGTGTGGACCCAGGTGTGCTCACACATTCAGATACAAACGTTGTAAATAAAGACTAGAGACGGAAGTCCCACAATTTAGTATCTGTAAGTTCAAAGAGAGGACACATTGGCTCAACATTTAAAACCAAACTAATTACTAATTACCAATTATGTTTCAAACACGTGTTCATGATGTAAATATTGTTTTTTATTTTCTCAAAGCTAAGTACACATATATTTCATCTTACATGGATCAGACAAGCTCATGCTGTTGAAGCGTGAAGTTTGGAAGGAAATGGCATCGGTTAAAAAAATCAATAGGTCTAAAGCTGAACGCGATATCCTCATTCCAAAAACCAACAAGTAACCACCGCAGCATTGAGAATGCTGGAAATTTTTATCTCTTGGTTTCACTATGACCTAAATATGTATTTTCAGCTCTCTAGTATTTTTAAACATTGGCAGTAATTTATAGACGTATAACTTCAAAGAAAATAACCTAAGGCAATTCAAAATGTACAGTTATAATAACACTTTTAATTTTCCATGGGGATAGAAACATTTGGTCTGAAGGGGCTTTAAGGGCAAACAACTGCCTTTAAAGATTGGCGTTGAAAATCCTGATAGTCCACATGGCACCTGATAAATGGAATTTCACCGTGACTTGAGGTGAGTTCGGTCGGCAGTGATGCCCACTCCTGGCATCCCTCAGGCCGGCCACAACAAAGTCATTACCTGCGGACCATAATTGACAGTGAACACAGGCAATCCTGTTAATTGATTACCCTGGCCTCAGCTAATGGAAAATGCAAAGGCTCATTGTGCCTCCCATAAAGGCCCTGTCAGGAACATTTCCACGCAAAGACGACCACCGGCTGCACCTTTAATGTTTCTGAGTATTCCCTGGGGACATCTCTGATGAGCAGACTGCTCCAATTCGATGCAATTACCCTCAGGATTATGATGGATTGAAATCTGTCAAGAGTTACGCACCAGAAATGGTTGATCAAAAGTACCATACAGAAACCATAAGGGACCGCATGAATGCATAAATGTATCAGAACTCAATGAAATGCATGGCCAGTAGTCTTTTGATCGCGCTGTGGATGCAGGGGCTTCACTCGGGCCACTCTCTCCCCTCTCTTCGCAGGATTCAGCCTCCAGCTCCTCCTCTTGTTTGCATCAGTTCTTGGGCACAGTAGTCCGCGCTGCAGCCTCTCCCCTCTTCTGCTGGCGCTCGCTCCGCACCTCTCCATAGCGCATGCACTCCCCCCTGGTGCCATGACTGACTGACAGACGTTCCGAGTGCCAAACGATGTGTTTCTGTCGCCTATGAAGTGGGAAAGATATTGGAGAATGGAGACGCGCCCAGGTCACTGCTTTATCTTAATTCTGTCCGAGTGGATTTGGCTTGTCGTTCTAACTTCACTCTTTGGCGTGGCGAAAGCAGAGGTGAGGTGCATCCCCTCTTGTCGATTCCAGCCGATCTCTGCGACACCTCAGGAGCTGTCCGCTTTGGATTTGATCAGTTTTGACGAGTTACAAAGTGATGAAATTGATGAATCAATGGAAGCGCTTTCCGAGGGCGCAACGGGAGGCACCGCAAACGACACCGATGCGAATCCGAGTGAAGAAAGTTCATCTAAAGTACTGGAACAAACGCGGGGAAAAAACAGCGCGCCAAGGCATGCGCTAAACATAGACGAGAAACTTCTAAAAGTGGACACGCCGAGTGACTCAAGCAGAAATGTCAGCCGAGTGCATAGGCGAAGTAAAGTGGGGGGTGTGGAGCGCAGAAATATGACTGAAAAGGATGAAGATATCGCGTCTCTCTTGGGGCAGAGACGTGGACGCGGAGCCAGGAGCGCAGAGACTTGGTCCGAATTTGGCCAAGAGGACATAGGGGGAGATGCCGTTTCAGGGGACCCGGAGGAGTTCCAGCTCACACACAGCACATTTGCGCTCACTGGGGACACGGCTCACAACCAGGCGATGGTGCACTGGTCTGGGCAGAACAGCAGCGTGAGTTTCATAATCTTTATACTTTCATTTATAGGATATTTGTTTGTAATTTGTCCAGATTTACGCACGGAATCTTGTTTGACGCAGTGTGGTCTCTATAATGACTGGAGGCGAGATTGAAGTTTCCCTCTGGGATTTCAGTCATTAGTAGCTCTTTAAAGATGGCTTGACGTAATGAGATGTAATCGAGATTGAATGTGAAAAGGCTCAAAGGTTGCTGATGAGTTAAGGCTGGAGAGCTGTTCCCCTCCCTCATCCCCAGACCCCCCATCCACACCCCCTTCCTCATCATATCGTGTCTTACTTGTCTGCGTGAATCTTTTACACAAGCCATTCTACAGGCTTGAACAACCACTCGCACCTTACATAAATAATAAACAATTACACATCTGATGAAAGCTCTAAACGTGTAAGCCTACAAAGTACCCATGAATATAAAACATATGGTGGATTAATCTAGACCATTTTAGACATATTTTTATTTTAGAAATGCATGTAAAATGTATATCAAATCCGTCAAATATCCTTGTAAATTTTTAGTCTTTGTAGATACTAACTTATTTCTTACTAACCATTTCTTGGCCTTATGGCTGAAAGGTTTAATGAAGCTATTTGAATGAATCGATTACAAATAGTGTTTCGATGTTGTTGCCTCGATTAATCTGTTAATTTACTTGAATACTACTTAAAACTAAGTTGTGCCGACACTGTTATGAAGGCGACAATATGATTTAGCATTCGTTAAAAAAAAACACCCAAAACATTAAAAACAAGAAACAATAAAACAGTTAATAGATTTCTCAGTTCATCAAATGTAATAAGCAATAGAATTCTTCATTACTAAAATAATTATTCGCTGCAGCCCTTTTCGGACAGTTGGAAGGATATTCACCTACAATCTCTTGCATGCTGTATTCAAGAAGAGTATAGACAGAGAAACAGTTTGTATTCAACCTTGTCACAAAATAAAAGTTGCAATGCAGTCACACCATTGCAACACTGAATAATCTTGAATTCTTGGAAATACTCCTCTGGCCACAAATGCTCAAATAATCCCCACATTATAACCTCTGCATCCCTCACCTCCTCTGAACCCTCACCCTGTGTCTAATCTGGCACTTTCTCAGCACTTTCTATTCATATTTTAGCTCTAGGGGACTTCCAGGCCCTGTTGATACCCACACAACAAAACCATCCGGATAAAACATGAAAATATCTCAAATCTTCAAATTTCATGCCATGTACCTTTACACAGTTTTCACAGATTTTGTTTTTGATACTATACTTTCTCGACCTACAGTAACCCTCAATCATTTCTTAACTATTTTCATTGTGAGAGCCAGAGTTCCCATAACATTATAAATACATTATCCTACCCACTTCCCCAGCCGTAACATTCAATAAGATTTTTTGCAAATGTTCAAGTTCTCACATTTTGGCAGTGGAGCCAAAGGTCCCCATTATGTATTAAAGACACGGTATTGTACACCACCACACAAAGTGCACTGTCCATCAACCCATCCACTTCATCTATTGGTATTCACCCCAGAGGTTTTGGTTTGTATGCATTGCTTAGAAACACGATGGCAATGCTGAGAAGGTTACAACCATCTGCATTTAATGGTTTGGTTCTGAAAGTTTTTATCTGCAATTAGTGAGCTGACCTGAATCAAATGATCATAATTATAGCATCTAATGGCAGGAATTCAAAGCTGCAGAGGATCTTCAAATTAATTACTGACTTTTTCAAATGAAAGGCCATAGTGGAGAACCTATTGCAGCTATATACAACGTATTATGTAGTGTCTCTGATCTAACGCATCAATAACAGCATTTCTGGCTTAGATATTAAAATCTTAAGCCAAGCCCTAAACCTCTCTCGCATACATTGTTTGGATGTGTTCACAGACAAAAAAAAAATACTAATCTGTCAGCTATCACTTTTTTTTCTACTTATGTTTTAAAGCTTTAAAAACAACACAATCCTATAAGTGGAAGAAAATGGAATGGAATGGCAATCCTATACTGATCCCATATTTTTTCTCTGGTTGACATTTTTTTCCTCTTTTTTTATCACATTTTTTATAACAATGAATGCATCAGTTACGAAGCTCCTCTTTGGACACTCCATACACGGTGGTGAGAAGCTGCTATTGTAGCCACAGCAGCCCTGGGGCAAAGTGACAGAAGCAAGCCAACCAGTATGTGCCATCGGCCCCTCCGACCACCACCTACCATTCATGCACACACCAGACTCATTTGTATTGTGGGAAAGTGTCTTGCCAAGGACACATCAACAGTTTGCCTCACTGTTTCACTGCTTATACCTTTTGGGCCTTCTTCATGAGCACTTCTCATGTAGATTATTTAAATCCAATTTAAAAAAAATTGCAAATTGAATTGAAGTTTGTCAGAAAAGATAATTGGAATATTTTGTGCAAAATGTCTTTAACATTTGGCGGCACGGTGGCTGAGTGGATAGCACTCTCGCCTCTCAGCAAGAAGGTCCTGGGTTCGAATCCCAGTCCGACCAGGGCCTTTCTGAGTAGAGTTTGCATGTTCTCCCCGTGTCTGCGTAGGTTTCCTCTGGTTTCCCCTACCACTAAAAACATGTGCAATAGGTCTGGCATGCGCCTCCTGTTTGGCGACCCCGCTCCCATCTCTGTGTGGAGTGAGAAACAAATGCATGCCCAAAAATAACAATTGTAAACCGCTTTGTGACTCTGGTCTGTGAAAGGCGGTATAAAAATAAAGATGACTTACTTTAAACAACATAGTGGCAGTGGTTGGTGCTTTTGCTTCACAGCAAGAAGGTCCTGGGTTTGATCCCAGACTTTCTACCAGATATTTTCAGTTATTCCCCCAGTTGTTCTTTCTTCGAGTTTCCATTTTATTGATTATAATTTCTGTAGTGCTCTAGTCTATTCAACTGGACAATACCTGTAGTCACTGGCTCTGTCCTTGTAAGATATGTTTCTTTTGCTTTGAATGTTATAGCGGCATACTTTCACCAGGTCTTTCAATAGACCATTCTGGTCTTTGAGAAGGTGCATCTCTCTGTAAATGTGTTGAAAGCAGCATTTTTGAAACTTTGAGTGCAGACAGATTTCAGGAATTTTAAAGTAAAATGCTCCACACAGGGCAGTGTACAAATGTGAAGGTTATTTTAAGTTGACACTTTCCAACAAGCCTTTGATGCATAAACACTATCACAAAAAGGGTACATTTTGTCGTGTGGGTAGAAGTGATACTACAAACTGATTCTATGAGAAGTGAATGCGTTGGTATTAGATCATGGAATTAGAGTAGAAACATTTCATCGTGTACAACAAAAAATGGCATCATTCCACTTGGTCTTGAACATACACCTTGCTCTTTGTTTAGCTGTTCGGTTTTTTGTTTATTGGATCATGTTATCCCTTGATGTTCTTCTTCCTCAACACACAGTCATGAATGTGCAATAACATCAGATTGTGCAATATGGGGCCACATGTGTCCACTGTCACATTTAGCCCAGACCTTCATGCTGCTAACCTGTACATTAGTTGTCACAGGTTTAAATGCCTATTGAGAATGTTAGGTGTGGTGCGATCAAATGAGATCAATCAAAGGTATAAAAAAGGGGATCAAATTTGATAAAAGATGTACTCATGGCTTGGCCCTAAAACATGGTTAAAAATACAATTAAAAACGGCCACAGTCACAGCAAAGCCCTCCTCGTCCGGCCCTCACCGATCCAACCTTCTCCTTACCCAGCTTCTGTCCCCGGTCTGTCCCATCATTGCCCGCACCTCTGCACGGCGTCACCCAAGCGGCTCGGGTCACCACAGCCCGCCGCTCCCTCCTGTCCTCCTTTCTGTCCTCCTGTCTCTCTCTCTTCGCCTCGCTTAAATGACCCATTCCACCACAGGTGCGCTAATTCCGAGAGTACAGGGCTTTGGGGAAGGAGGGGCCATGGCACAATAAAACATAAAATAATATCCAGTTAAATATAAAAAACAGCTATAATGTTGAAATTAAAACTTGACATTGCATTACACCCTCATGCTGCTATCATGTACAGTAGTTCCATCACTGTGAATATTTGAATCCACAGACTTTATGACTTATTACTTCAGTGTTCTTGCACTAGAATGTATTACAGATTTATCTTCAGATGTATACATACCATTTATATATTTCTTTTTACTTCAGTATACAGGGGTTTACCTTATATGTTTATACTTCTTATACTTAGTTTCTGTATTAAACCAAAGATAGAGATCTTATGTCATTTGTTTAAAGTATAGAGTTGTGCTATGATTAATAGTCACCTGCAGTATATTGTGTTGTGTGCTGCTAATTTCTACTGTTCTGTAACTTCTGTGATGCAATACTGAAATGTCCGCACAGTGGGACGAATAAAGGATCTCCTAATCTTCTTGAAGGACCACCCTCATGTCACGGAGATTAGGGTACAGGGTCAGCCTCAGACTTAGCCTCAGTTGGTCCTATAGGTTTTTCTTTGAGATTCAGATCTAGAGAAAATAACGTTGACACTCAATGTGATGTAAACCAGTCTCCAGTACTCGTCTGTAAACATGTGATCTCTATCAGCTGGAGCCTCGTCGTTCATAAAGATGAAAGACCGGACGGTAAATGTTGTTCTGGTATGGACGTGTTATTGTATTCTCAAGTGTGGCACTGTTCTGTATCGACTAGACACACCTGCCCTCAGCGTCACAGCCACTCCACCAAAGTCATTTCTGCTCAGCCCGACTCAGAGAACAGAACGGAAGCCCACTGATCCGTTGTCTAGGCTTTGCCAAATATCAATTGGATTATTGACGCCTGAATTGAAGTCGAAAGACATTTTGACGAAGAAGTGGAGCCATGAGGCATTATATTTTTACCTCTCCCCTCACATGTGTCCTCGCCTTTCACTTTAATATTAAGTTTGGTGATAAAAGTATTGTTTTTGTCATACCATATAAATTATTTGAAAATCGGAAATGAGTAAA